GAACTGAGAAAGGATATAATAAAACTAAGTGCAGAAATTGGAGGAATGCCTGCATTTTATAGGAGTTGGGAGTGGAGAAGAAAGGAGGCTAAAGGGAAAAAGAACAGAAGGCAGAGGGGTGGTGCACTTCTGTAACAAAAATGTCTCTAATAAAATGTATGTACATACACACATAAATACACACATATTCATGAACACACACATACACACACATATATACACACATACATACACAAACACAGATATCTAAACGCCTATATCCTGTATGGATAGACATTTGGAAGAGAAGCAAAATAACTTCCGTGAAATAGCACTAGAGAAAAAAGTTTCAAAGAAACAGCATTTATAATCCACTTCCAGATCTAGGAAGACAAGAGATTGAGCATTGTCAAAGCCAAGAGGCAGGAAGATTATTCATGGGCATGAAGGTGTTTTCATTTTACTAACACAGTACAATAGGTAAATTGAAGTTTACCAAAGTTCTTTCATTATCATTTTATTTGATCCACAGCGAAAAAAAAATTTCAAAGGACAGGCAGGACAGCTGTCACCATTTGCAGCAACATGATGAGGAAGTAGCAGTAACAAGTGCGGATTGTGCTTTCAGGAAGTTTGGTGGTATCTCTCATTACAAATTTCATCTGCAATAATAGATACCTACTATTTATACAAAGATTCTTCAAGGCCAACCATAATATGAGCAAACAAGGCCAGAGAACAATAGTAACTTAGAAACAGATCTCCCTAGAGCTTCTCATGTTCCCTACCTAAATAGAATACTTGATTCCAGTAGCATTAGAATCTGGGAATATTATAAAATACGACGAGGAAATGAAGAACTTAGACTGTTTAAAATGGTAACAATTCATTGCCCCTCTGGTTTAGTCAGCCTGCCAACGTAGGTTTAATGGAACTGGTAGAAGTGAGCATTAGGGACAATTAGATCCTAACATCTGAACCATACTGAATGGACCAAGTGTAGGATCTTTTATGTGTCCAAATAGCAAACATTAGCATAAAGCCCCTAGTAGAACAGAATAACTAGAACAGGGGGAGATACTATTAGAGAGAAATGCAATTATTGCTTAGGATGTTAAAATTTGGTAAAGGATTATCTGCATTGGTTGTCTGTATCTATCAAAGCTCCGTGTATCAAGTCTCCATCCACCAACATGCACCCCCCCCAGACCCTCTTCCACCTTCCCCCGTCACCCCTCCTCTGGCAATTACCACACTGTTGTCTGTGTCCATGAGTTTTTAAAACGATGGCACTGTTGATAAGCTCCAGTGATAAGTGAGTAATGAACCATGGCTGTCTACAGGTTTAAAACCTAGTTGAATAAATTAAACCAGGGAAACAATGTACAGGGTGGGCCAACAGAAGGTTTACAGTTGTGAAGAGGTGAAACACAGAGTTTATTCTTGTATTATTATTTATTCATTATGGTATTATTTTCCACACGAACAACTGTAAACTTACTTTTGGCCCCGCCCCCTGTATTGTATAATTAGCATTAAGAGGAAGAGTGGTAACTTGGATTTATTAACAGAGATTTTTAAAAATTGAGTTTTGGGGTGGGAGTTTTATTAGTATTATTGACAGTATCAGTAGCAGTTTTCTACATAAGGTATAAAAAGATAAAACATAGAGATGAGCTCAATAAACCAAATGAAAGAATACTTGCAGCCCTGGCCCGTTTGGCTCAGTGGTTGGAGTTTCAGCCCGCAGACCAATGAGTCACGGGTTCAATTCCGGTCAAGGGCATGTGTCTTTCTCACAGGATGTTTTTCTCTCTCTCTCCCTCTTTCCCTCTCTCTCCCTCCCACTCTATCTGATGATAAATGGAAAAATATCCTCAGGTGAGGATTAAAAAACAAAAGAAAACTTTCAGAACAATGCCTTAGTTGTCATAACAAAAGATATACACTCACACACACCCACACAAAATGATAGCTATCTGAATGTCTATATCTAGCTGTATGGTTGGTCTTTTGTTAGTTCATGTAGAATATTATATGAAAGATGCTGCTTAATTATATGCACGTATATTTAACAACATCAGTTACGGTTTTGTACCTGTCCAGCAATGCTAAATTGGTGAAGTTCTACACCTGAAAATTCTGATGACATTTTTTTCTTAGCCGATCTATGAGACCAGTGAATGGGTAACCTGGGCATCCAGTGTCTTCCTGCTCGGTTGATGGCGCTCGGTTGCTTTCTCTCTCACTCCCTCTTTTCATTCCCTGACAGGTACACATGCACAGACACAATATACATACTATCATTACGAAACTCAGTTTCAACCATGCTTTCAAGTGTTCCACTGTGCACACCACTGTGCTGGGCACTGTCGAGAACAAAAGCACGGATGAAATACACACAATTCTGACCTTTTTTCTCCTTTCTGAGTCTGGCTTTGAAAGCAGGTTTGAATCTTAGCTCTGGGACGTTCTGACTCCATTTTCTTGGATGAATTCCTCATTTCTCTATACTTAGGCTTTTTTTTTTTTTTTTTTTAATCTGAGAACTGGAAATAATAATAATATCTAACTTTATGGGTTTGTTAAGAGGACTCAGTGGGATAATATGGGTAAAATATTTTGCATAGTGCAAACTATAATTGTTGTCATTATAATTATACTATTTAGAAGATTTTATAGTCTAGAAAAGAGCATGACTTGAACACAGCTAAGTCTAATAGAAACAATTAGCAACATAACAAAGGCAAGCCATAAATTTAGCCTTGGGAATAAAGGAATAAACCAAGCAGAGTTGATCATTTTTCCAGGTTCTATAAATACTATCCCCTTTGCCACTAAATAAATAATGATGTCTTCTAAACATCAGTTAGATGCAACCTAGAATTATATATGGGAAAGTGGTCTCACTTTTAAATTCAGCAACTTGGCCAGCTCAGCAGAGGGAATTCAAGAACAGAATGAAAAAATGGAATGAACAGTTTTTAAAAGGTGTCCTCTATTACTGAAATTCTATGATTCCATGGTCAAGAGGTTTGATGGAGTTTCCAGAGATATAAAAAAAGACAATTTAGAAAAACAGCATTTTCAAATGGTAGTTCCCTCCCCTTCCCCTCCCCCCCTGACTTTTCTCAATTGCTTTTGAAAAACTGACCTTGGAAGAACATTAACATTGACCTCATGAAGAAAGAGGAGTTATTTTGAATAAGCTGGGTCACAGAGGGAGGAATTCTATTAAATAAAGTCCCTGGGGAAGTGAATTATTTATTGATTCAGTTTGTGGTATAAAATTGAGGTGCCCTTTTGCCATTTCATAGTATAAGGAAATTAAAGAGAAAAGGATAGAAAATGCATGTCTTAAAAATATGGGGATAAAGAGGACTAAGTGTGTATATTAATTATGAAGGGAGGATGAGAAGGATGTCAATAAAGAAATAACACTGATGTTTGAAATTTACTAAAATTAATCTTTAAAAATATTGGCCAATGTCAACTAAATTTGTTACTTTTTTTCAAGGCAGCTAAGTTGTACAAGAAACTTCTTTTACATATTTTGTTTTCTTATTAGTTCATTCTTTCATTCATCAGAAATGTATGATTTATTGCAAAGCAGCTGTGATGGAGACAGACATGATCCCAACCTTGATGAGGGTTAAATTTTAGTCACGAGAATGACCAGAGATAAAAGACATAAAAAGATTCTCCTGGACAAGCCATAGTGAAAATCCACTCATCAAATGAGTAAAACTTGCTGTACAGACTAGTAATCTAAGCTTCCCCAACAAACCCCTCCATAACAGTGTGGGCATATTTAGCTGATTTAAGTATTAAAACAATAGCATTGGTTAAAAACATAATGGTATGAAAATAAATATACAGGGTGTCCCAAAAAATGTATTCAGGGTGTCTGTAGATTCTATTACATTTTGAAAATTAAATGTATTTTAATAAACACTGGCTTTATAACTGCACTTTTTTCTGTATACATTTTTTTGGGGGGACATCCTATAGATAAACTAAAGGGGAGAAATGTGAGGATTTTATCCTCTTTGGGAAAAAAGACTGATGTAGTGTAAGTTGTTTGTGATGGAACATCCTTCCCACCTCCCATGGTGGATCTTGTGGTTCATCAACAATTTAAATTAGTCCCCAAACGTGACCCTGACTCTAGGATTTATTTTTTTTAAGTATTTTTGAAAGAGGAAATTGCCTAAACAATCCCTTTAATCAAAAGTCAGAGGGTTTACTCAGCGGATGGTCTTCATGAAGACAGTGAAGGTACTTCACTCCCTTCATCCCCATCACTCAAAAGGGTAAGAGGATCAAATGAATTTTTAAATGCAGATTTTCGGTTTATACAGTTCTTTTTCATCTTCTGGAAATTGATTACAAGACTTAATCAAGATTCCTCCGTGTATCATTAACCAGTTTGGCTTCCTCATTTTTTATTGTATTTTATTTTCATAGTGAGTTTGGGAGAGCTTGGTTTGAAGCCCATCGTGGATTTCACGATTTTCTGTCCAGGCCTGGAGGGAAGCTAAATTCAAACATAGGAAAATAGTAATTAAAAGTGATCAGGACAAAAAGCTTTGGTGCTATGAATTGGGAACTCCCTGGCACAAGGCAACCAGGCAGCAGTTTTGGTTTTGATTATAGCTTTACTTACTATTTTAATAAACATGAACCAGTATTCAAACTTTCAATATCCTGCTGCTTAACTATTTCCAAAGAGCCATCCAGCTCTTTTAAACAGTCTTTGTTTTAAAATTTTAATTTGTTTGGCCCTGTCTCACCTTAGAATGCCTTAGCCTCATGGTAAACTCTTTTATAAGTTGATTTCCAGAATCACAAGCAATTCTTTTATTTCCCCCTCCCAACTAAGTGCTTCCTCATGTGCCAAAATTGTTGGTGCTGACAGCTTTTCTGCCTTGTTTTATCTGGTTCCCACAGTAAGTATGAGAGACAAACACAAGAATGTGTCCAGCGTTGACTGGATGCACCATGACTACATTGGTACTTACAGCTCCTCTAGGAAGCGGAGACTGTGCAGAGGACTCGGGGGCAGCTGACTGATGTTGTTCATGCTGAGGTCTCTGGAGAGGAAAACAGACAGCGAGTGAGGAGCAGCGTATGCCACCACGGGGAAATCCAGCTGTTCAATTCACACATCTTCAAGCAGTAGAGCCAAATGAACTCATTCTTTTGCTTGACAAATGAATCGCTATTTTGCATCTTAAACATAGTCCTCTCCTCCCACCCCACCCCCCACCACCATGGACTATCAATTTAGAGACCCTAGAGGAGCTTATACAATCATTCAAAATGATGTAGGCCATTCATGGGCATGGTTGTAATTCTTCATGTTTAAATCTACGGAATAGGACAGCCAGGAAAGACATAACTCAGTGCTAGACATAACTCAACCTTGTGTCTTGCTTTACATTTTGTGACTAAGAGAAATGTCTTCACCGTGCAACTCTGGAAGTCCTGTTTCCCTGGGACCATAAGCACCTTGTAAAAACAAATGTTTTGATTCAAAGAAACTTAAAAAAACAAAACAAAACAAAACAAGACAAAAAGCCTATTCCCTCCTTCTAACATGTTCCTTTTACAGGTTCTCAGATTGCATTAAATAAGTGAAATGAACCATAAAACAAGGGTGTAATGTGATCCTACTCTGTAGCACACTTCCTGCTGGGCCTGCACAGTAGTTCCTGGCACAGGAAACAACAAGCCACTTTGGGCAGAACTCAATCAATTTTTGTTTTAAGCGAAACTCCATGTAATTAGATTTTATTCTGCTTTTACTTTTGTTGTTGTTGTTGTTTTTTACTGTGTCCCACATAATCCTACAGCATCACTGGGGTATGCTGTCTGCCTCTCAGCTCCCCACCAATGGACTGCTAGACAGATTTTAATCAAGACCAACTAAGACTTTATATAACAGTCAGCAAACCCAAAGATTCAGAACTAATGCTATATAATCTCAGACCAGATCTATACATTTTATCTTGCGATGATACAATGAGCTTCATATTTATTCTTTTTATATTGATTTAATTGGCATATAACATTGTATTAGCTGTGCAACATAATTTGATATATGTACATATTGTGAAATAATGACCACAATAAGATCAGTTACAATCCATTACCACACATAGTTACAATTTTTTTTTCTTGTGATGAGAACTTGTAAGATTCACTCTCATAGAAACTTTCGAATACACAGCACAGTATTTTCAACGAGCGTCATCATGCTGTATGTTACATCGCAGGAGTTATTTATCTTATAACTGAAAGTTTATGGCCTTTTTTTTTTATCCTCACCTGAGGACATTTTTTTTTTTTTTGCATTTATCTTCAGGTAGAGTGGGAGGGAGAGATGGAGGAAGAGAGAGAGAGAGAGAAACATTGACATGAGAGAGACACATCAAGTGGCTGCCACCCACACAACCCCAACTGGGGCCGGGGACAAACTGCAACTGAGGTACATGCCCTTAGCGGGAACCGAACCAGGGTCTCTCTGGTCTGTAGGCCGATGCTCTAACCACTGAGCCAAACAGGCCAGGGCTGGAAGTTTATGTCTTTTGACCACTTTCACCCATTTCACTGATGAGCTTTTAAAAAATTCTAAATTTTTTCTGTTATTGAAGTGGCCACCACATTCATTGCGCCTAACCGGTTGATTTCAGTATCAATAGCTTGGTTCCTTTATCAAACATTAACTTTTAATCAGTGGGGCTAAGAATTGAGGAATCATTCACTTTCTGTCTTTAAAAAATGACTAGTGGGAGCATTTTAGAATTTGCTTCCTGGCAATTGTCCTCAGATTTGGCTCAAATAAATTCTTATAAAAATAAAAATAAAAGGTCACTAGTATGTACAAGGAAGATAAAATATTTTGCTAAATGTTTTAGGGTGTGGTAAAAAAGCAGACTTATTCATTTTAACGTTGGTGAACAATAATATAGCTGAGTTAATGGCTATATTCTCAAGCTCAAACTAAACAATGCCCAAAACACGAACTAAAAATATTTCTATTGCCCGCGTTTTAAAAATCTGGATTTTTCTGGCATTGTCTAGATAAGAGAACCAAATAACTGATTAGCACTTTCCATTTCTTGTGTGCAGAGATTTCTCTGAAGTAGTCAAGTTGTTTAGTTCCCCGAACAGACCTGGATTAAATTAATCAGTGCCGTTTCTGGATTCCTCACCGCGACTATGTAATTTCTGCGAGGACTTGATATTTCTTAGGGATATTCGTTTATTTTTTTAAATTGATATCCCACTTACTTCCTAAAAAGGATCAAGGTGGTTTGCTTTCGGAGCATGTTTATTGGTGACTATGGCACTAGCCCAAACATCGAGACAGCGGGCGTGGAGAGCCCAGCTTCCTCCGACACGTTCCTGTGTGGTGTGCAAATCAGTCTGGGGCGAATCTCGTCGGTGTGCAGAGCGCTCCAACTAGAACCAGGAAAGCTACACGTTAAGGAGATCCGTAAGCACGCCACGTTATTTGTTACCAGATTTCAGGGACCTGGAAGCGACGCTCACCTCAGCCTCCCTCTCAGGCTTCCTTCCCCCTGAGCCCTGTGCCCTTCCGATGGGAGAGCCGAGGGCAGGCCGCTAGGGCTCAACGTCTCGGGCTTGATTTCAGGCCTCTCCATCCACTAGCTGCACCACCTCGGGAAAATCAACCTCCCTCTGCCAGCTTCCTCAGATTTATCTATTTATTTTTGTTCAGATAGAGTGGGAGGGGGAGAGAGAGAGAGAGAGAGAGAGAGAGAGAGAGAGAGAGAGGGAGATATCGACATGAAAGGGACACATCGACCCAACCAGGGCCTGGGGACAAACTGCAACCGAGGCACATGCCCTTAGCGGGAACTGAACCCGGGTCTCTGTGGGCCGCAGGCCGATGCTCCAACCACTGAGCCAAACCGGCCAGGGCTAGCTTCCTCAGATTTAAATCGAGGTGTCTCTACATTCATAGTTTAAAACCCTACGATCAGCTGTTTCTAATCAGAAGAAAGTGACTTAATTTTATTCTTAAAAAAGGAGAGTCCCCCCTTTGCCAAAAGGAATTCACAGCCTCTCCCTGCTACCTGACATTGGGGTTCCTCTCAGAAAATGAGCTCGCACTGCTAACCCGCAACCTTAGCATCTGTTTGCGCGCACGGGCTGTTTTCGTTTCCAGGCAGGAGGATGAGCGAGAGCAGGGAACCACCCCTAGTCCTGGCAATCTAAGGTAAAATGAAGCAGGCCTTTAAAACAGAGATTCACAGTGGGTAAGATAGAATGTAATTTGTTTGCAATCACTTTTTCCTTCTCTGTGTGCGAAAGACCAAGTTTTAAAAATGTCTAACTTGCTGAGGCCTTATATTGTTATAAAATAGTTAAAATTAATGATAGAAAGAGATAAAAACACAGATATACAAAATAGAAGCCTCGATATTTTAGGTGATTCAATAGAGATCGTTCAATTACTATAAAAGTTTCCAAACCTTTATTCTCAAATTCCTATCTGTTGTGAATCAGTAAGAAACAACTTGGACAGGGGGTCCTCAGGCCACTCTCGGTTCGCAATGCTCCTCCGGCCTTCATGTCAAGAGGGCGAGACATAAACGACTTGAGTAATTTAACTCCACTTTGAGTTAAAAACGATAGAATAAGAGCAACCTTTCTACTCTGTATAAAAATATCCTCATTCTGACGCTTGAATTATTTTTAAATCTTTCCTTTCATTTTCCTATAGTATTTGGTCTTTCTGACACCTGGAACACATATAATCTTAGCAACAAATGAGGGGGATCTTAAAATAATTTCCCAGCCTGAACGGTATTTACTTCTTAAACTATTATTTTTAAAAATGGCTCTATTGTGCACCATCTTTTGCCCATGATTCAGTTTCTCAAAATTAGTGAAGCAATAGAAAAGATTTCTTTAATTCCTTTCATCTTTTGCCAAGATGTTGAAATTAAATTTGAAGAACTGATCACTATGTAAAAAGATCTCAGAAAAAAATGGATGATTCATTGTGCCAAGATGGTTAATTATGTTAAACTATTCTGCCCTGTCTTACCCTGTTCTCATCTATGTGCTAATGACCACGTCTAGTCTAGAAAGGGGGCAGCAAAGTTCTATGGGAGGTGTTGACCATGTATTGGAACCACCTTAGGAGTTTTAAAAAATATGGATGCCTGGATACCACCCCCCAGAGTTTCTGAGTTAATCTGTCCAGTATGAGCCCCAGGACATTTATTTTTATTTTTAAAATTTTTATTTATTTATTTTTAACTAAATTTTTGGGGTGACACTGGCTAATACAATTATACAGATTTCAGGTGTACAATTCTATAATACATCATCTATATATTGTATTGTGTTCACCACCCCAAGTCTAGTTTCCTTCCATCACCATTTATTCCCCCTTTACCCTCTCCTACCTCTTCCCACCCCCCTTTCCCTCTGGTAATCACCACAGTATCGTCTGTCTATGGGCCCTGGGATTTTTAGAAGCTCTTCAGATAATCTGACTGTCCAGCCAAGGCTGAGAACCACTGCGCAGGAGCAACTGTACATTTCTAGATGAGTGTCCTGAGCTCTACAAGTCATTCAAAAATTAGGAGGCTTAAGATGATTGAAGATGCTGTTTCCTATGACAAGAGGGCTCCATGCAAGCAGAACATGTTTTTGTTGCTTGCAGCTCTATTATTTTTCCTTTGACAAATATTAATTGAGCATTAACTGTGGGTAGGTCTAGAAACACAGTGGAGAACAAATTCAAGTCATCTTCAACTTTTCCCTTTCTCACCGTCCCTCTGTCCATAAGGTGCCCAGTGTTAATTCTGCCACGGAGCTTGCCTCTGCATCTGGCCTCTCCATTCTTCTCGGCTGCTATGATCAGGTCCTTGTTATACTGATAACTGCTTACTCTGTCTCCTTATTCTAGATCATCTTCTACACCATGGCCAGAGAGATTGCCCTGAAAAGTTCATCTGATCGTCACTCCCCTCAAACCCACTGTTAGCTAACAGGAAAGACACCTCCTCAGATGAATGATTTGGAAAGGGCTCCTCCACTGGAGGTGTGT